AGAATCAGTTCCCATTCAACGGATGTCGTTGGGACCGTCTGGTGCGGCGTTTATACGTGAAAGATCGACGCCAATCGAAACGGAAGTAAAATCGACCGATGTACCCATGGTCCGAGAAATGAATCCATTTGGATCAAACCAGCTGGATTCTTATTTTAAAGCAGCCATGAAGGAGTACGAAGACGATCAACGGATTTTAGCTCAACAAAATGCTAATCGTTCACAGATCAACGCCATTTCTCAAATGATGGATATTCCAGATGTGGAGATGGAGTTAGTTGGATCGCGTCATAGTCGATCCAATATTGGCGGTCCACTGGATCTAGGATTCGAGGATCTAAGGCGACCGTTGGTGGTAGCTGCAGAAGCTATGCCAAGTGGTGGATTCACTACACAACGAATCCGAGTATCGGCGATCGCAAATTTAAAAGAGTTCACTGGGCGAGACAGAGATGAAGATCGAGCTAGAAGCTGGATCAGTAAAGTCAAATCTGCTTTCTTACGTGATCAAGCTCTTGACAACGAAAAGTGTCTCGTATTTGGAGATCTGCTGACGGGACCAGCAAGAAACTGGTATAGCCAGCTGAGCCGATCGACTCGTCATCACTGGAAATCTCTATTGGAAAGTTTCATGATACAATATGGAGGGTATGGTGTATCTGTTGGAAGACAATATTACCATGCAAGGAAACAATCGAATGAAACTCCATTGAAGTATCTATATCGGCTAAATGTGGCAGCGATCAGAGCAAAAATTTCAACTCGAGAGGGAACGCCAGCTACCAGACGTGAACATGTGAAACATTTTATTGAGACACTGGATGATCGCGATCTGGCGAAACAGTTGACTTTATTACGTTTGGACGATGCTGACGACATGGAAGAAACTTTACGTGCGTATCAACGTATGGAGATTCGTCAAGGCAAGGCATCGATGGGATCCAATAAATTTCGTCAACGAGCCACCCCTGCACCCGATCAAGCTTCATCGAAACCGGCTCGTGCAGTGAGAGCAATCCATATCGAAAACGGTAACAGTGTATCAGAGTCGGAATCGAGTGGATCTGAAGTAGAAGTGAATCGACGCCGCGTGTTTTCCGCGATGACGCATGCCCCAGCTGAAAAGCCGAGAGATTATCGTGATCGACAGAATGAGAGTGACACTCGTGATCAACAGAATGTGATAGACAATCGTGATCGACAGAATGTGATCGATCAAGGCAAAGGTCATGGTCACACTGACCCACCAAGAGCCTGCACCCATTGCGGATCGAAGAAACATGACGATCGTGGATGTTGGAAGTGGTTGACCTGTCAGAAATGTGGGCGCAAAGGACATCCTTCAGACAAATGTTTTGATCGTGTGTACTGCCTGTGGAGAGATGCACGAAGGAGGAAAATGCCCGATGGAAAAATTTTACAATCTAATTCGCCAATGGTACGTGCCGACCAAACACGCTGGGATGCTCCCGTCGAAGGCAGAGGAGATGTTAAACTAGGACGCTCACCAGATTGGAATCTGGTACGAGCCGAGCGTTCTAGGCTATGCATTTATGCATTTGTTGAAAAGGGATTTATGGATCAAGAAGCTAACAAGCGGATCGATCCGATCAATACATGTGAAGATTCAAATCATTTGCGTTACATTTCAAGTGTCGCAAAAGTTGATGAATTTTCCCGATCACCTGCCAAGATGGAGCTCGACCTGGCGCATGGCGAATCACGGGGGTATTGGAAATATCATACCCCAGGAAAATGGTTCAAGCAGGCCAAGGCAGTGGGCAAGACCAACAATGAGAAGGCTATTATGCTATTTGATTCTGGAGCCGAAGTCTCGATCGTCGACACCACCTTTGCTCGTAAGGTAGGATGTGTCATTGACGAGAGCCAAAGGCAAGAATGTATTGGAATTGGTGAGAATACCTATATGACCGAGGGACGAACCAAAATCAAGATCACATTAAATGGATCACAAGTATATTATTTTGATATCTGGGTGGGCGATCAAGTTGGTCAAGAAGCGATCTTGGGTATGGATTTTATGGTCCCAGCTGGGATTCGTTTGGATCTGGCAGATGGAACACTTTGTTTGCCGGATGAGTTTAGAGTTCAATTGGCGGGACGAAGGCCTCCATACCAAACGAACAGACAGCCTATCACGATTAACGATCAATATGTGGTGATCCCAGTAGGCGGATCGACGGAATTACGAATCGGTACTGATGCACCGAATTCTAAGCTTTGGGTGAGACGAGACCCAAAATGGATACTAACAGTCACAACAGGACCGGGGAAGATTAAATATTTGCAGTTAACTAATTTTAGTGATCGAGAAGTGATTGTATATCACGGATATCCGATAGGTTGGTGGATGGCTGCGGATATGATACCTCGATCACCTGGATATGTCTTGTGTTGGGGTCGCGTCTATATAATGAGTGGCAGACTATGGCCTATGAAGCAACTACAGATAGGGAGGAAGAGTTTGCTGATGAGCCAACAGGACCACTAGTTGATCACCCATCGTATTCACTACTAACTAAAATTTTGATGCGTCCAAGGAAGGGAGAGAACGAGAAGATCGCAAAAGTGGAGAAAATTGAATCGCAATCGGATAAGGACACGATCAACGTGGGAGTAATCAGGATAGTACAGAAGATCAAGGTTATCTTGACAGTGAAGATCATCAGTCAAGACGATCACAATTTGCGATCAATATGCTGAAAGAAATCGACAAGGTGGATGGTGTACAAGATCGATCAGGTGAAAGAATCGATATTAGTGATGAAGACATAACGGACTAAGATCAAGAACAGTCCACAGGTGGGATCGATGCGACCAGAGAAGTGGGAGAAGTCGATCAGATACTAAATTGATCGGATGAAGCAATTGAATAGTTTTTACGAAGATCGTCGACGATAACGATCAGAGACAATCCGATCGTGTGAAACATATGTCCACAGCGATCGCAACCGAGGATGTCCCAACAAAAGAACCATCATCTGAAGAGGCAGTATATTCTCACGAGAGTGGCGATCTGTTGACCAAAGATGTCGATCAGCATATGGCGGTGTTGCCAGAAATTGTGATGTGTACGGTGGAAGTATCGATCGACGATATTCAAGTTGGCGACCCTGAAATACCATTGACAGAAGATCAAGAAAAGCTACGACAATTAATTTGGAAGAATCGCCTCTTACTCATAGGGAAAGGTAATGCCCTACCTCCCGCAGCACGTGGAGCAATTTGTGATAGGGGCCAACCCGATCGCACAAAAAGTGCGACCTGTAGCACCCAAATTTCGAAAGAAATTAGCAGATCTGATCAAGGGATTATTGTATGCCAAGATCATTCAGCCATCTACTTCGCCGTGGGCTTCGCCAATTGTGGTAATCATCAAGAAAAACGGTGAAGATATTCGACTATGTATCGATTATCGACGAGTAAATCAATTGACACGATTGATGGTGTATCCGATGCCATTGATCAGTGATGTATTGCAAGATATGGATAAAGCTATGTGGTATTGTTCCTTGAATATGGCAAGTGGATTCTGATTGGTAGAAATGACAGAGAGAGCGAGGATGATTTCTGCATTTATTACACCGTCAGGTTTGTTTGAGTGGTTACGAATGCCATTCGGATTGAAGAATGCTCCTCAAATCTACCAGCAATTGATTGACAATGCTCTATATGGGTATTTGAAAATTGGTACAAGTTCTGATTCAATTCCAGCTGAATTGTCAAAGCCGATCGACGTGTTTACTGAAGGTGAAACAGATACTGATTCGAAACCATCGGTGTTAGGTCGTCGATCATATATTGACGATATACTGATACCTGCTACATCGTGGACGTCCCTTTATGAGAAGGTGGAACGATTGTTGGAAGCGTGCAATACGTGGAATTTATTAATCAGTGTGGCTAAGAGTTTTTGGGGACGTCGTAAAGTGGATTACCTAGGTCATCAGGTTTCGCTTGCAGGTTTAGAAGCTCATCCAAAAGATGTTAGAATCTCTGGTAAACGTCCTATTTTCTCGGACGTTGCGATCAATGCAGTCATTTTTGGGGAGTCTGAATTACTACAGCCGATTAATTGAGGATTTTGCGATTTATGCATCTGTACTTTATGAGCTGCGGGAGGCAGATTTTCATGAGATCAGCCGGGCTGGGGATGTTCAGATGTTCACTACTGATGCTGGAACAAATTGTGATCGCCAGTCTCGTGACAAGTATAAAATCGATCAGGATTTGAAAAGTGGATCGAGAGATGGCTACATTATCGATCCAGAATCGAATACTGGGGACGATCATGGTGTCGAGGGCATAAATCGCTGGGAAAAGGCAACGATCGCATTCACTCTATCAAAAGCTAAAATAGCTGCGACACCGATCCTTAAACATTTTGATTCAGAAAGATCGCCTGTGATTGTGGTGTATGCCAGTAAGTGGGCCATACCAGCGGCGTTACTTCAAGAACACGATGGAATCTATTGGCCTGTCACTTTCTCTAGTCGCACGCTGAAGCCTAACGAGATTAATTACGGGATGGTGGAGAAAGGGCGTTATCTTAGTTGCGAATGTATGAAACAGCCTTTGCATGGCGTGTTCCAATGTTGGCTCCTCTTGCCACCACCCTTCGACTTGGCGATTATAATACCGCTCAGCCATTCCCATGAGATTGTGTCCAAGGACGTCTATCTTGACATCCTCGCTCCATGGGAAGCCGCTCGCTCGCTCAGCAAGAGAGACTTACCGTACGAGCTTCTCCCCCCAGGATAGGCAACCGCTCCCTAGCCCCTGGTAAAGCTCGTTTTCATCGAGATGACGGATATTCAGCTTGCGCTGTCTTGCGTCCGGCACTCTCGCATACGACGGAACGTGCTGCGGTATCGGTGCCTGCTGGTATACTGGAGGTGGCACAAAGTGTTTTCGCAGCCCCGGCTGCGGCGCCTGTGCCATCTCGACATTCTCAGCCGCCCTTGCATACACCGGTTGATTTATCCCGAAGTACGTCCCTGGCGACATATGGGGAACCGAGCCCTCGGCGGTGTCACGTCGAGAGCACGCCGATTCATCGGTTGCCCCAGGCCTATTGCCGACCCGACCACACTGGACTCCTTGTCTATCGGCTGGTCCTTGGCGCCCTGTGACGCATCTAGCTTAGCCATCCGCTCCGCTAGTCTCGTTAGTAGGTCCAACATCCTTTCCTCCGTGTTCCGTGGCACCGCCTCTGCCTTGACTTTTAAATCTTCGCCTTGTAGACTGCTGGCCCTTTCGCGACCGGTCACTGTCCGAGGCTCCGCGGTAGGTTCCACACCGTGGGCGGCATAATCCGTTGGGCTCATAACCTGTAAGAATAGGAACGTGTTAATGCAAAAGTAGAAGTGTTATTGTCGTTACCAAAATGCTACCATTCTTCCATCTCTTTAAAACAAACCATTTCCGCCCTGACTTTACTACACCATCTGTAGCGGAGCTGAACATCTCTTTAGCCAGAGGAAGACTTAAGGCTGCAAGCCTCTTAGTTCTAGAGAACTAATTAGAGTTAAGGCTAAAAGCCACCTAGTTCTAAGGAGCTAATTAAAGGACTTAAAGTCACCCTCTTCTAAGGAAGTAGGAGAGACTTTTAGTCAGCAAGCAATAAGCTTAAGGTTCAGAGAACCAACGCACAGAGTGCAAGAAAAAGCTAGAAGCTTAGAGGTTCAAAGAACCAACGCAAGAAGTGCGCAAGAGAACAAGTCAGAGAGACTTGAGATCTTGAACTCAAAATGAGAACTGATTTTACTTATGCATTAAGATTTTGTGCATAGTCCTACATCCTACACTAGATTAATTACTATAATAGTAATTGTAATATGCCATTGCTTGTATCTGGATAGGCGAATCATCCTATCATCAGTGTACGTTGTACTTAGCACTATTGTTTCATTAATGTAACTGATACCGATAGTATAAGGTATAACTAATACCGTATACTATCACTCATAAATAATACCCCTTTTTAAAAGTATTGGTATTTAGAATGCATGATATGCAATGATAAAACCTCAACCGTAATGCACTTTCGGTATGATGTTCCAACTGCCGTGCAACCTCGTTACACTGCTGTAATGTGGTATGGTGGTATGGTGGTGTGGTGTTGTGCAGTAAAGAAATGTGGAATTGTAAAAGCGTGCAAAAAGTATGGTTTGGTGGAAATAGTAGATTTTGTGGTTAAAAGCCAATTTTTTTAAAAAAGTGTATTTAATATAGTTAAAGGCATCAATAGCTTAAATTTTTTTATTACCTTTTTAGCTTTAAGTAACTACCTCATAATCACTACACGCGTCCACCTTTTATTTTCTGCGCGTTGGCTGATATCGTGGCCTCTATCAGCCGGCATCTCCAACGTCAAGGAGATGCGACGACAATGTTATTTCCTAAGACAATACTATTGAATGTTACCATATTTTCAGCGAAGATGGATATTACCAACAAGATAACATTGTCATATATAATCTACGAAGTATTAATATTGAGTATTATCTGCAAAAAAAAATTGGTCATAATTATCAGCCAAAAAATTATTATTTATATAATTAGCAAAGATAGTATTATTATTGAATACTACTAGCAAAGATGACATTGTCATATATTATCATATACGAAGATATATTCACATGCACATATTCCCCGCCAAAACAGAGGTACGCGCCAAAATGGGAGATGCACTGAGTCCAATCACATGGGTTCCAAATCTTTTTTTCGTCCAATCCTCACCCTGTTCCCACCCCATCCACCCGTCAGTCATCAATCCACCAGCACGAGCAATAGCTTAGCAACTCAAACCATGTACGTTATCAAGCGCGATGGTCGTCGTGAAGACGTCAAGTTTGACAAGATCACAGCACGCATCACTAAGCTTTGCTATGGTCTCAATCCAGACTACATTGATGCCATAAAGATCTCTCAAAAGGTCGTGGCGGGTGTGTACCCGGGTGTGACCACTTCGGAACTGGACGAGCTAGCTGCTGAGACAGCCGCTTGCCAAAGTACCCAACATCCAGACTTTTCCAAGCTAGCGGCACGTATTGCCGTGTCAAATTTACACAAGAATACAAACAAGGTCTTTAGTGACAACATTGACGTGTTCCACAAGAATGTGCATGAGAAAACAGGAGCAGCGGCTCCGCTCATAGCTGATGATGTATACGAGATCGTGATGCAGCACAAAGATGAGCTAAACTCTGCAATCATTCACGACCGGGACTTTGAGTATGACTATTTCGGATTCAAAACACTTGAGAAAGGATATCTCTTTCGTGTTAATGGAAAAGTCGTGGAGCGACCGCAACAATTAATTATGCGCGTTGCTCTAGGTATCCACAAGAACAATATTCAAGCGGCTTTGGAGACGTACGAGTTGATGTCTCAGAAGTTTTTTACTCATGCGACGCCAACGTTGTTTAATGCTGGAACTCCTCGCCCCCAACTGTCCTCGTGTTTTTTACTAGCTATGCAGGATGATTCGATTGAAGGTATTTATGACACATTGAAGCAATGTGCGTGCATTTCCAAATGGGCTGGTGGGATTGGCATTAGTATGCACAACATACGAGCCACTAACAGTTATATTCGTGGCACTAATGGTTCCTCTAACGGGATCATTCCCATGTTACGGGTGTTTAACGACACGGCCCGATACGTGGACCAAGGTGGAGGTAAACGCAAAGGATCCTTTGCTATATACTTGGAGCCGTGGCATGCCGACGTGTTTGAGTTTCTGGACCTGCGTAAAAACCACGGTAATGAATTGCACCGAGCGCGTGACTTATTCTACGCTCTATGGATTCCTGATCTGTTTATGAAACGGGTGGAAGCTAATGGCAAGTGGAGTTTATTCTGTCCGAACGAAGCTCCTGCTCTCTACGAGTGCTGGGGAGACGAGTTCGAGACGCTTTATGAAAAGTACGAAAAGGAGGGACGCGCTCGCAAGACAATTAATGCGCAGCAGCTATGGTTCAGCATTTTAGATGCGCAGATTGAGACGGGCGTGCCATTCATGCTCTTTAAGGACGCAGCCAACCGTAAGTCCAACCAGCAGAATCTTGGCACGATCCGATCCAGTAACTTGTGCTGTGAGGTAATGGAGTATACGTCGCCGGATGAGGTGGCCGTGTGCAACTTGGCGTCTGTGGCTTTACCTAAGTTTGTGGAGGACGGTGTCTTCGACTACAAGAAGCTGTATGATGTGACGAAGGTGGTCACCCGTAACCTTAACAAGGTTATTGACGTTAACTACTACCCGGTTGCAGAGGCTCGAAAGTCCAACATGCGCCACCGCCCTGTGGGCATTGGTGTTCAGGGTCTGGCCGATGCTTTCATTCTCATGAACTATGCGTTCGAAAGCGAGCAGGCTCGTGAACTGAACAAGAATATTTTTGAGACCATCTATTATGCTTCGATGGAGACATCCATGGAGATTGCCAAAGAACTGGGCCCGTACGAGACATTTCAGGGCTCCCCGGCCAGCAAGGGTATCTTCCAGTTTGACATGTGGGGTGTCACCCCGTCCTCTGGTCTTTGGGACTGGACCGCCTTGAAGGAGAACGTGATTAAGCACGGCATCCGCAACTCTTTGCTAGTGGCTCCTATGCCTACTGCTTCGACTGCTCAGATCCTTGGTAACAACGAGTCCATCGAGCCGTACACGTCGAACATGTACAACCGACGTGTGCTTGCTGGTGAGTTCACGATCGTGAACAAGTACCTGATGAAAGAGCTGATCGATCTGGATATCTGGACGCCCGAGGTCCGTAACCAGATACTGAACGACCATGGTTCTGTGCAAAAGGTGAAGACCATTCCGGACCATGTCAAAGAGAAGTACAAAACAGTGTGGGAAATCAAGCAGAAATCGGTGTTAGATCTGTCGGCTGACCGTGGTGCTTATATTTGCCAGAGTCAGTCGCTTAACATTCACATCGCCGACCCGACGATCAGTAAACTCACCTCCATGCACTTTTACGCTTGGAAAAAGGGGCTTAAGACGGGTATGTATTACATGCGCGGGCGCCCAAAAGCTGACGCCATCCAGTTCACCGTGGACAAGCAGGGCCTCGACTTGCAGCGCGCTAAGGAGGACACTAAGGCTGGTGCAGAGTCGACCCCTGCCTCAGTGGTTGAGAACGTCAATCGGGCAGGTGAGGACGAGGACGAATGTCTGGTTTGCGGTGCTTAAGCTTGCAAAAGTATCGTGTTTAGCTGCTACTGTGTCAGTGCGTGAATTCTTAAGCCTTACATCGATATACTTCAAAATTCAGCATAATTGAGCAGCGATGCGGCGCCGTGATCCATTTCGTAGCAGTATAAAAACCTGAACCACATCTAGAAGCAGGAATGCTCTCATGACAATACTTTTAGTTTATGGGAGAAGCCTAAAGCAAACACTGTTGATCGCGAACGTATTACATGGAACAAAAAGCTTTTTGACGGTGATACGTGGTATTCATACGAACGTTAATAAAGACACTGATGTACTAGCGGCGGCGGTGCCGACTAAATCGGAGGGTTAGCACACCAATGACGAGAATTTGCAATACAGCCGAGTAACATGCCAAAATGATCATGTCCTGCCAGATGTTCACTTTCTCCATGCCGTAGTTTTGGAGAATTTTCCACGCCTCAGCCGTGTTCACCCTAGAAAAATGCTCATACATGAAAGACTCGAACGAGTACGTGTGAAAGGCGATGTAATAACCCCATTTCCAGTACACGGGCATATCCGAAAACGGCACCATGAAGCCTTCGCAAAGCATGAACATACCGAAGAGACCAGCTCCCAACGCAATACCCATGATGTAGTGAGGCACAGCAGCACCAATCAAGTGCATCAGAGACTCAGCGGCGATGAGTGACAATGTCAAGTTCAAAAGGAACGTAGAAAACGTGTACACATGAGCCAGGAACACCACGATGACGGATGCCAGTACAGAAATGAGGAAAATGCCCGGTAACGAAGCCAGCAGGTTTGACATCGTGTAACCCGTGAGTGACAATGCATATGCTCGCATTTCTCGTTCCATGACTGCTCGGTGCTCCAATAAAGCCGGAAGAGCGGCGACGGACATGAATACCAGGAAAGCTTGCACGTAGAAGAGCAGCGGCACGATGGACGTGTCCTTGATTTCGGCGTTGGAACTCAAATACATGGTGCCCACCATCAAGGACAGCAACACGTACATGAGCACACGCAGCCAGAACACACCCGGATGCCTCCAGTTGTTGGTCATATTACGTTTGAGCAACACAACAAACTGGTCCATCGGCCACGGTCGCATGGCTTTGAGCAGTTCGGGGTTAGTGAGGTGCTCACGTCGAGATCGATCTTGAACAACATCAGCACGAAGACGCTGTGGTTCAGCACTTTCCTTTAGTGCACGGGTGAACGGTTCCAGCTTCAATCCGTCGTGAAAGTTTGTGTTCACTAAATGAACAAAGTATTCGGCCGGGTTCGTGTACATCGGACACACGTATCCCATGGAAAAAAAGTGAGGAATGGCAGCACTAGTAGGTCCACTGTACACCAGCTCGCCACCACTGAGAATGATCAGATTGGTAAGCATGCCGTAGATGGAAGACGAAGGCTGGTGGATCGTACACACAACGTTCTTACCACCTTCTTGACACAAACGCTCAATGTACTGCATGACACCACGAGCGGAAGACGAATCTAAACCAGAAGTCGGTTCATCAAGAAGCAGCAAAGCAGGGTCCGAAAGCAATTCCAGAGCAATGCCAAGACGTTTGCGTTGACCGGACGAAATACCCTTGTGGAATATGTCGCCCACTCGGGCGTTAGCGCATGATCGCAATCCCATCGCGTCGATCACATCTTGAACACGAGCCTCTCGCTGCACGGGGGGCATGTGTCCGGGCAAACTCAGCCCAGCACCGATCTGTAGGGTCTCCAACACTGTGAATGCTCCAAGGAAAGCCATCTCTTCGGATACGTAGTTCATGATAGAGTGGAACGTGCGGAGGTCACGAGGTTGGCCATTCACTTCCACGAGACCTTCCAAGTGCACACCCGAGTCCCCTGACGGCACTCGGTCGGCAAGCATACCAAGCAACGTGGTTTTACCTGCACCCGAAGGTCCTAAAATGGCAGTTAACTCTCCCGGTCCCGATCGACCCCATACATTGCTGAGAATCTTGCGAGGCTGTTGTCTCTCGAGCTGTGCCTCAAGTCCGGACAGCCCTGATCCGCGCTTGCTGTTGTTACGAAAACGTCCTAGTAGCGTCTCCTTGGGCTGAATGAAGTACGAAATATGCTGCCAACTGATGGAGCACGTCTGTAGTGCCGCACGTTGGCGGAATCCCTCCGTCGACAGCTCCGAGTTCTGATCAAATAACGCAACCTTGGGCTTCACTGGCAAGCTGTTGTTACTAAAGGTGTGCGGCGCCGGTCCTTTCAAAGTGTCCAAGTTCCCGTACAAAGTGCCGGGTGACAACAATCCGTTTTGGTCGAGTGCACGACTGCAGCCGAGGTCATTGCGGGACATGGGGGCACCTAGCACCGCTGTGGTCTCCGATCCGTCCAAACTTAAAGGCGTGTGATTCGAAGACGAGACGTGTCGAAGAACGGGTGTCCGACTGTCCGAATTCATTGTAAGCTAGTCGAATTTTAACTGCAAGGCAAGTCAAGCAATCAGAAGACTGTCTTGGAGACGGTATTTTCTATTGTGGGAGCGCTGGAATGCTGCCGGTTGGGTAAGATCGGTGTCGACATTCCAATTCGATTGTCTTTACGCGGGCAAGACATAAGTAGACGCATCTGTTGTGAACAGTCCATTGCCCCGACACATGTAGAATTGCGCGTAGACTAGACAAAGTCGTCTTGGAAGAATGGCATAGTCTCACCTAAGCGTATTTTTATTATAAAAAGCAGGCCGACAGACGACGGCGATGCACAAAGTGAGTCAACTATTACGTCAATTGGCTCTAGCGCGACTGCTTGAAAGTGATACATTCAGCACCAATCGACAAGACGACTAGGACTCATCAATGTAGCTGAATGCAGTTTCTTCGTGGAAGCAGATGATGCATCGACGTTTCGGTCCACTGTTTTAATTTGCACTGAACTTAACGCGCGTCGAGTGTAGGCCTACTGAGTACTGAGAATGGTGCTGCCGGACTTTGTGTAAAATGCTTACGTGGGATGCAACAACACATGGAGGCAAAGGGTTTATATACAGTAGCAAAGTATAGTCTGTAGGGCATCAGTTGAGGTTCGCTGGACGGATGATTCGGTGGAAAGCTTATGATCATATGTAAACATAATGCCTTATAAGATCGCTCTGTATCGATCGGTTACAAATCAGAGGCCATAATAATTAAAGCCGGATACAAGGAGGAGGGCGCGTGACCACCGTGCATTACCTAGTGCCACGTAAAGAGTGAACGACACCCCAACTCGTTTGTAGATGTGCTCTCGCTTGTACTGGTACGGATACTGCTGGCATCAGTAGTATGCTGTGGGTTCAGCATGCATGAAAGAGAAAAGTCCTATGGATAGGCATCTTCCTCTACATTGAAAGGTTTATTTGGAGCCACTCATTGTGCAAGTCGTACGACAGCTGCGCTGTCCAGTGCTACTGTCCTCGGTCCCAGAATTTGAGTCTTGTCCTTGATGGGGCGGATTGCATGGTCGTGTCGTTATGACACTGAAACCTGATTTTTCTTCAAGATGATCCCTTTACTACATAGTTACTAAAATATGCGAGAAGAATACTGAACAGTGACGAAGGCCGTTATCTTTAAAACATGCCGTTGACTATTCTCTATCAATGTGAGCTCTATATGTATGCTCACGACCACTACCCGATTGTTTTTTTGCCATCGCAGTGTGTGACTTGACTTGCCGACCTGTTATTTTCATAAATTTAGGAATAAGAAATACCTGAGGTCTAATATGTGTTCCAGTACTACTTCAAGCCAGCGACGATGAAGATGATTGGAGCAACATCATTTGCCTGATGCTGGTAGAGTGATGCTCAGGAATTGCTTTTCAAACGTTCCGTAGTTGTTGCTCTGCCCACAATGGCATCTCGAATACTACCGTAGCGGAAAAACACGGCTGGCAGCATAAGCAGGTTGAAAATCAATACTCGGTTCTTGATGCTGATTGCGAGCTGAGTCGCTGTCGCTAGTTCAGGTTGTAAGTTGCAAATACATAATTAATACATGACGTGCAAATCTTTGACGTTTGATCGCGGGCTTTTTTAGGGTCTTCAAATTTGATTCTGCAACCACCCGATCTTAAGAGCTCAGAGCCGCGCTCGGCTGCTTTCGTGCAATTGTCGTGGTAAGAGAACTGATGGCGTTATAATTTTGGAGAAATTCAGCAAATCTAGTGGCAGAGTACCGAAATTTATAAAATCTGTATCATGTTTATGATATTTTTCTGAGCTCAAAATACCCCGCGATACAGATTTTAATTTTCATTTAAGAATACCTAAGATACAGATTTTTAATTTATATTAAAGAATAATTATGATACAGATTTTTTAATGTGTTTATTTTCATGTAAGAAATATCTGCTACTTGGTGGCTCTATCATTCCTGTCGTTTCCTTTTCACATTTAGAATCATAACTTTGTATCACATGGACTGTCATATTCGCCGTTTTGAGGGCTTTTAAGTAATTTCATTTGTTGTGCTCAAGCTCGAATTGCTCGCTACATAGTTGCAAAAAGAATATGTGGTTCTATCATTCCTGTCTGCGCTGTATCTACTTTTAAAGTCACAGGCGGGGCTTCAACGTCTTCAATACATGCAGATTCTTGTCTTCTTCGGCAAATTCCAGACGCTTTTGTGCCTTCAAAAGCATTCGCATCTCGCATTGGTTGTTCTGATCGATTTTCAGGCCCTTCTCGATCAACTTGAACGCGTTGTTTTCATTCAAATTCAAAACCGTAAAGTAGCTAACAGGCAAACATACACGACATGGATAATAAGATTGCAACTTCGCTTCTCACGCGTGCTACAGAGAAAACGAACCCGCTGTGAGACTTGCGCTCACCGCCGCCTACAACGGAATTAACAAATACCTCAACCTCAACCTCCAAGCGATAGCGACTAATATAGCGACAAAAAGACATAGGTACTTAGTTAGCAGGTCAATTCAAGACCAAACAGCAATGATACTCCGCACCGAACATTGACAACGCGGGCGCGTGCCGTGACGACATCTGAGACAGAGATTGGGAGTTTAAAAAGCACGCGATTCATTGCAATAGTCACCATTTTCTCCGACTTTGTGAAGTTATGTGCACTGTATAACGCAGCACGGTCCTGCAAACAACTGTCAATTTATCCTAAACCATATCCTTTTTCCACCTCAAAGTAAAACATCTCCGTACCATCCAAGCGAGCAGGTCACCACCGAAAACCGTCTTGTTGATATTAAGATTGCGCGGTAAGAACCAGTTGCGCACTTCGATCTCCGTATCGCTCACAGAAACGTACTTCTCCTTGGTTTCGCCCGGCAACAAGTCACTATTCTTAATAAAAGGAATAGTGTCCACTGCATCTTGCTCGTGCTTCCACCTCTTGGCCAATTCTTTTCTCTGGTTAGCTACCTCCTTCATCTTAAAACAATATTCCGCCTGGTCGGCATCAAAAAGTTGCGGGAGTCCCTTCTTCGGCCGTCCAAAGCGATTGATGGCCACCATCGTAATCAGAGCGTCGTGCGTGTGCTGAAACGTCCCACTGGGGATGTCGTGACGATAGCCGCTTACTTGCACCGCCATTGACGAGTTACTTAGGCCAATCACCTCCCCTTCCACACGCACCAAGTCTCCATGGAATACTGGTTTTACTAAATCCACTCGGTCGAACGAGATGGTGGCAACAGCACCCAACGATACTCGAGCTGAGATCGTGCCGGCCAGCACGTCCATCAGTTCCAGAATAGGACCAGTACGTAGCCATCTACCTTTTTGACTCTCGTCGCCCTAATTAAAAAATGGCGTTAATTCTTAGTGAGGGTGTTATAACGTGGCTTAGCCGATTGTTGTCTGACCGTACGATGATGTCAGTAAATGCCAGCCGCGTATCCTTTGCGCGCACTTGTGCGGGCATGCGACGCATACGCCATATATCCTGCGCCGTTCCCAGTAGCTTCTTCAGCACCATATCTGTCCAGTCACTTGTAGCTTGAATTACGTCCAGCCTTATTTCTACTCTATTTTTACTTTACTTACTTATTTCTATCTTGTCCAATTTGAAGTAGCATACTCCGCGCACAGTTTCGTGATTAATTCGACTCAGCTTGTGGCTCTGCATGCTTCCAGCAACAACAAATGCTTATCGATGACATGCCACTTGGTATGACAGACAGTATATAATATGAAACCGTTGAGAGTATCTGACATGCCACAGTTCACAGCTTATAACAGCATGTTCGATCAATCACGATAGGACTTATAGTTGTTTAATTAATTCATTATCATTATTACCTACATCTTTAAATGCCTCTCCAGCAAGTTCCCGGAGCCGATAAGCCCCTCTGCCAGCCAAGGGCGTATCATTTTGATATATCAAATTTGAATCTAAATCGGACGCAAGAGAATCAACCCCGTGAGAATCAGAGCATTATCATGGGCAAATACGACGAAAACGGCTTTTGTTACTTATACGGTGGTGATCTCGCAGCCCAAGACTGTAACGGGGTTACACGACGGTTGTAGCTTTTTTCCGAGAGTTTACGGTTGAAGTCCCCTTGTATTGCATATAATGCACTATGATACTTCTCTTTAGAGAGGCATTAAGTATGAGCGTTAAAGATACGGTATTCGGTAATACCGTATCTTATCGATTAGGATTCGATAAATCGATAACGCTGTACTAAGTACATCATACACAGATGTTTAGACGACACGTCGTCCAATAGCAAAGTCTGCATACAATAATTACTATTATAGTAATTAATCTAGTGTAGTGTACTTAGAGTAGGACTATTCATAAAATCTTAAAGCATAAATATAATCAGTTCTCCTTTTGAGTTTAAGATTGCAAGTCGTTGCTGACTTGTTCTCTTGTGCACTTCGTGCGTTGGTTCTCTGAACCTTTAAGCTTCTAGCTTGTTCTTGCACTCTGTGCGTTGGTTCTCTGAACCTTAAGCTTATTGCTTGACTGACTAAAAGTCTCTTTCCTCGTTCCTTAGAACAGGGTGACTTTAAGTCGTTTAATTAGTTCCTTATAACTAAGTGGCTTTTAGCCTTAACTCTATTTAGTTCTCTAGAACTAAGAGGATTCCAGTCTAAGGTCTTCCTCTGGCTAAAGAGCTGTGCAGCTCCGCTACACTTGGTAGCACTTGTAGTCAATCCTACACCGGAGTCTTTTAAGACTTACCCTTTGTGAGGATGGAGAATCAAAATCACCTCTCTGAGGCGCAACGACTCGCGCTAGATAAATTATCTGCGTTCGTCGGGCCCGATCAAATCGAGGCCCTTTTGGCCCAAGGCCCGGAGGTTTTAAATGCTCGCCTTGAGGCCTTTATGCGTTATGAAGCAACGCTACTCGGGCAGGTCCATGACCAGGCAGCTTCAGCTGCGCCTACACAGTACATTCCGGTACCTGTGCACGATGCAGAGCCAAAGTCTCGCCCACTCGCTCTAAACGTGAAAACCTTTGAGGGGAAGGAGGGAGAAAATCTTCTCCTCTGGATCCGAGAAGTTGAAATGGCAATGGATGCCGCCATGCTTGTGTCAGATAAGCAACGAGTTGGCTTGGCCATTTCGAAGCTCGGTGGAAGAGCTAGAGAGTGGGCTCTAACGAGCGATGTCTCTGTAAATGCCGTATTCCCCACATGGGAAATGCTTCAAAAGCAATTAACGTGTGTGTTTGCACCGCCTAATCAGGCTTTTCGTGTGCGTTCACGCTTCCTAGCTACCCGACAGGGTAAGAAAAATTGTCGGACTATGTCCAAGAGTTAAGAACTCTCATTGTTGCTATGCAGCAGGACCCACTGGCAGAGGAAGTCCGAGTAACCATTTTTATGGAAAGAGTTCGTACTGGGGTCGCCAGGACGGAAGTTTTCCGTGTCCAGCCTTCGACTTTCGAAGAGGCAGTAAGCATAGCGTTTAACGCTGAATTTAATTTTAGATCTTCTCGATATGGTCTGCCATGGTATCAATCAAATACCTCTAATAGGGCGGAACCCATGCACCTCAGTCAATCTGAAGAAGCTGAGCTTCAAGCTGCTGAGCAGCAAGGCAACATCCGTAGATGTTACATGTGCGGAAGCATTAGGCACCTCCGCCCTAGCTGTCCGTTGCGAAAGCAACCGTTAAGGGTTTTAAGAAATCATGGTCAATTCTAATTGACTCAGGGGCGTCAGGTAATTATGTTCGACGTCTTTCCCTTGAAGGGAGTCAGCTGTAAGCTGAGGCGCTAGAAACGCAAGAGGGGGAAAGTATAACCGTTCGTCTCGCAACAGGTGTACGTGTCACCGTTCCTAAAGTTCCGTTGAGCTTAGGTGTGAAGTTCTTAGACTTCAATAGCGTTGAACGCTGTCTTTGTCCTAGATTTGGACTCGATATATGATCTTATTCTCGGTATGGCCTGGCTGGAACGCCAAGAGCCATGGATCGATTGGAGATTCAAAACTTTAGGCGCAACGCGCAATGTTCCTAGCGACGCTTTGGAGACCTCTTCGCTAGGAAACAAAAGTGATATTGGCGCGAGCCATTAACTGAGGCAGTTAGTGTGCTGGACATTAGAGTATTTGAGTTAATAAACTCCAATGTCAACAATAATAGTGTCGAGCAGAGCTCAATGACACCTAGTGAAGCGGCACGTACTCCGTTGAGTGATACTCATAGTAATATTGAGACACTGGATGTCGGTAATGACATCGGCTCTTGTATAGAGCAAGTTAAGGTCGATGACCTTGTTAGTGATATTGGCTGTACCGATGTCTCGAGGCGTTAGTTTATAAACAAAAAATCTAATACACTTTCTCGAGCTTTTTGCTCGGAAGGAATTGCTATTTGCTTGACGGTTGTTTAGGACGTATAAGGGTCGCTAATTACGTGTTATCACTGTCACTAGACTATAAACCAGTACACGTCAAGCCTTATCCGATCCCACGCAGCCTCGAGAATGAAGCAAAGGCTGACATCCAGCGTCTGATAAGCTGGACGTATCGGAACAGGGTTCAAATCTCCCTACGACCAACCCAAGGTCCAAAACCAATGTGGCCTACACTTCTCTCACTGGTACCCCCACCCCCCGGGGAGTGAGTACTGCCTCTCGTTGAAGCATGAAACCCCAATGCAGAATAATTGGGGCTATCCGGAATGGTTGGCACCCAGAACATCCGGCAGAACGCCCGTCCGTGGCACGATAGTCATGACCGGTCAGGGATGTGTAGGCCCTAGCCGACGAGGACAGTACCAGGTCATTTAAAAAAATGCTGAATGCACCGGATGTACTTAAAAAAGAGAAAGACGTACTGAAACAGATTTACAACTCTAAAGTGGCTATTCCAGGCTTTTTGTGCCGAAACCGAATGGTTCACTGCGACTGCTAATCGATTATCGAGTGTTTGATCATTGGCTTCGTCGAAGTCCATACTTCGTTCCTCAATTCCGCGAGATTCGGCTACGTCTCGCAAAGGCACGGTGCATAATGATCGCTCGATGCCAACATGGGATACTACGCTAGGCAATTGAATAAGCAAAGTCGGCCGCTTACAGTTTTTTGTAACCGTTTGGAAAGCATCAATACAAGCATCTTCTAATGGAAATTTCTACTGCACCTGACGTAATATCAAGCCTGCATGGAAAATGCTTTCGGTGATCTGGATTCATTGTCGCATATATGCATGATCTGCTCATATTTTAGTAATGAAATGAAACACTTAATAGCATCTTTGGGTGGTGCGACTCGACCAACATGGAGTCACATTGAATGGAAAGAAGTGCCATTGTCTACGACCGGAATAGATTACCTGGTCTATACACTGACTCCGGGCCGCAAGCTTAAAGATATCCAGGCGATTCAGCATCTTGCGGTACCGCGCTAGAGAAAAGATCTCCGATGATTTTTAGGCAAGATTAAGTATAACCGTAACAGGATGCCAAACAAAACCACGGTGCCAGACGTTGCATCGACTGCCAAGTGCAAAGGGTCCTTTCACATGGCTTCCAAGTGATACGAAGGCATTTCGCTTATAAAAAGGGCTTTTGCGGATACACTTCTCATCGCCTTTCCTGACTTTACGAAACCATTTCATTTGTATGCAGATTCCAGTGGAAAACAACTTGGTGGTATCATCATCATGCAAGATCGAAAGATCATAGCGTGTTACTTTCGTGCACTCGATAAGCACCAGCTCAACTATACAATGACGGAACTAGAAATGAATTCGATTGTCGAAATTCTCTGTGAATATCGAATTATGCTTCGGGATTTCCAGTGGTGGTCCAAACGGACCACAGGAACCTTATTTACCCCACGGAAACATACACACGGGTCAAACGCTGAAAATTACTTTTATCCGAGTATCAATTGACGATGCACTACATCAAGGGAGGCAAAAACGTTAAAGCAGACGCGTTCTCAACAATGCAATTGAAACTAAGCAGAACTAGTAAACATCGGTTGACGAGCTATGTGCTGTTACATAGGACCCTCCGTGTATAATGCATGGTCCTGTGATCAGGCAACACAACGACAAGGACAAAATGATGTAACAGATTAAGTCAGCATGTCGTTAGGGTGACAACAACCAGGATTACCAGCTTGGTCCTCTTCTCGGATGTAATTTGGTGACATAACAAAAACTGAATAGTTATCCCATCCACGCTTCGCGATTACTTGGTACATTAGTACCATGAGTGCCTGAAACATCCAGCCAGTGAGCGTCTGTACAAGCCATGCGCCAATTCTAAATTGGCTCAGCATGGAAGCGACAACTGTAGACTTCAATTAGACATGCTTGGTGTGCAGAAGTGCTTAGTACTATGATCAATTGCCACCAAGACCAACGACGACCTTAACCTTTTTAATGTGGTTCGTGTTGATCTCATTGGGCCATACGACGACGGATGATACGAAATAACCATTATTGATCAGGGGACAAGGTGGTTGGAAGTGGGTGTCCAAGAAAACAAGTTGACGCTCACAAC